AGAAAAGCCCTGGGCATATTTAAGGCGAGCTGGGCCCAACAACAACTGCTGTCCAACAAGACTCGACAGCGGCCGCTGTTGGGCAGGCGGCTCTGTGTCTTCCGTGGAAAACGTCCTCGGCGGCGCGGACAGCGAGTCTTGTTCTGACCACCCCAACGAAACCCGAAGACCCAAATTTTGGGTTGGAGTGGGGCACGGGCTTCATGCGCATGTTCTCCATGTCCCCCGACTCCCCCCCAAGAAACTGGAAATGCAGGGCAAATTGGGGCCTTCGGGTTGGGTTGGGGTGGCTTGGTGGGTGGTGATGCCCCAAACGAGCAAGAACTGCTGCCGGCAGGGCTGAACCTAAACGGTGTTTTTCGTCTTCGTTGTGTTCTCGTTGCCCCTCGCTCTTGTCTCGGAGCCACCTCTGCCGCAGAACGACGTCGAAACGCCAGCGGCCCACACGAAATCGCCCCAAGCACCCGTTGAGGTCCAGCCCTGTGCTGTCGGCCTCTGCGCCCGCTCATTGCCGTGCCCGCTTCGATCGCCCCGAGCCTCGGCCTGCGAGAGCTGTCGCCGCCGCCCCCCGCCTCCCTCCAGCAGCATCCGCAGCGCCTTCACGTCGAGGGACCGCGCGGGGCCCCGCAGGCGGGCGACCCCGCTGATGAGCTCGTCGGAGGTGATCTTGCCGTCCGGGTGCTCGGAGTCGATCAGGTCGAAGAGGAGCTTGGTGTCGCTGACGTCCAGGTTCATCGATGCGAGCCACATCCTGATGAGGGGGTTGGTGAGGATGAACGCGAACTCGTGGCGGCCAAGACATCCGTCTCCATTTCTGTCTGCGCGCTTGAACAGTGCCTCCATCTTCTTTCGATGTGTCCTGTCAGCTCGCTTCTTCTTTTCCACCATTATGCTGTTGTCCATCTCTATCGCCGTAAATGTCTCTTGCATGAAAACAGCGTTCAATATGCCAACTACTGCAAAACCCACTGTCAGCTTATAGAGAATCACAAAGGTCATCCACCCTTCATGGACTTCGTCCTGGAGGAAACGTCCAATTTCTGGCCAATTTGCCAGGGCGAGCTCGAACAGCGACATCATGCTCCGTGTGTACGTGCCAAAATAAAGCCACACCTGCAACTTCTGATCCTGGTCCAAAGGAGAGCCGTCACCCAAGTACGCGTCGCGCATGATCCTTGTCATGAGCAGTGCCAACAAAGTCAGCGCCGTGGAAAAAATAACAATAACACAATTCGCGCTGCCAACGCAGGATCTGAGAGCCGCTGCCATCACAGTCGCGGACTCAAAGTGGGCAATGTTCCTCGTCAATCGGATAACGCGCATCACTCTAGTTAAACGCAGCAAACGGACAACTTGAAGATTAAAACTGACTGTAACCAGTTGGTCCAAAACCATTGCAATATCTGTGGCAACTACAACCAACAAATCCAAAACGCACTTCCAATCCGACCAGAACTTGGATCCCATAGCGATCATCCGCAGACTTACCTCAATTGTAAATAGAATAGCAAAACAAATCTCGACTGCGAGCAGAGTGCCCTCCAGCTCCGGATCGGTCCTGGAGCCCATCTCGTCGTACCAGCCGAAACGATTGCCCAAAAGGCTGCCCCTGTACTGCTCCTCGATGGCCACGAACACCGAGCTGATGACTATGCACGCCAGCCAGAACGTCTCCAGCCACGCGCTGTTCATGGCGTCCCTCACCCGCCGGGCGTGCTTTCCCAGGCCGTGCTGGTGCTGGTCCCACGCCAGCACGTCCTGGCTCGCGAGCGCCTCGATGATGTCCCTCGACTTCTCCGCCTCGAGGTCCGACGGCACAGAGGCCACGGAGGCGGTGGCCGCACACTTTGCTCCCGCTGGCGAGAGCGGCGGGCTGGGCGGCGCGGAGGCGTTGGAGTATCTCCGCCGCGAGGCCTTGGACCATGGCGTTTGCGGGTCCAGCGGGCTCAGCGAGACCGCCTCTTCGGCGGCGCCGCCGGCCCCCGCCAGCGCACGCTCCAGCGCGCCGCTGCTCCTCGCAAACATCGCAACGGCCACCTCGCGGGGCGCCTCCTCCGCCGCCAGCAGCCGCCCCAGCAGCTGCAGGTGCACCCCGCACAGGCCGAGGAGCTCCGCGCAGGGCCCGCTGGGCGGCGCCTCCTTGAAGGGGCCCCAGGACACACAAATAAATACGCACAAACAAAAAGATTCCCCACATTTTCCCATATTTTCTGGGTTTGGATCTTCCCCCCACTCCCCATATTCTCCCCTATTTTCGGGGGAATCGTGAATTAATTGTCTCTGTGTGGTTTTTCCCATCCTGACTCCTGCGGGGGCGCGCGCCGGGGCGGCGGGGGGCCCGGCGGCGCGTCGGAGGGCCCGAAGCCGGGGCCGGGAGGCCCAGCGTCGGCCGCGAAGGAGGGCCGCACGCTGGGCGGGACGCGTGCGGCCTCCTCGCCCTCGGCCGCCGGCTCCGCGAGCAGCGCCATGGCCGACACGCCCGCCGGCGGGGGCTGCCGGCTCCAACCCAGGGGAGGACTCGTTGGTACCTGGCTTGAGCCAAAGTTGTTGCGGTGTGGCTCCCTCGGCCCTCGCGGGGGTCCAAGGAGACCTCCAGACCGAGATGGCCCCCATACGGGCCAGAACGGCCCCATGACGGCCCAGGATGGCCCGAAGAGGGCCCAAAAAGGCCCCCAAGCCGGCCCCAGAGGGCCCCTAAGAGGACTCCAACAGGCCAAATCCAATGATGTTCCTCATGTGCTCGACTTCTGTTTGCGCTCTGGCCTGTTGGACCCTCGGGGACCCATGACAGCCCAAGCAGGAGGAGGAGGAGGAGGAGGAGGAGGAGGAGGAAGAGGAGGAGGAGGAGGAGGAGGAGGAGGAGGAGGAGGAGGAGGAGGAGGAGGAGGAGGAGGAGGAGGGGGAGGAGGAGGGGGAGGAAGGAGGGGAGGAGAGGGAGGAGGAGGAGGAGGGAGAAGGAGAAGGAGGAGGAGGAGGAGCAGCCTCCGAGCTGGTCCCACGAGGACTCCAAGACGGCCCAAGAGAACCCCGAGCCAGCCTGAGGGCGAGCCAAGGTGGCCCACAGAGGCCGCGGCCCGACGAGATTTCAGCACCTTCGTCGTTCACAGGAGGACTTTCTCGCACAGACTTTCCTCCTCGTCTCACCTCCTCTCCTCCTCCTCCTCCTCCTCCTCTCCTCCTCCTCGTCTCACTCCTCCTCCTCCTCCTCCTCCGCCTCCTCCTCCTCCTCCTCCTCCTCCTCCTCCTCCTCCTCTCCCCCTCATACAGACTTTCGACTGTCTGCTTGCGGGGCGGCGGAATGGCGCAGGCCACCTGAAAAAAGGTATATATCGCCCGAGCACGCAACTCCTCCCAGGTCGGAGTAGGAGGAGGAGGAGGAGGAGGAGGAGGAGGACCTTCGCGCCCTTGCACTGACCCTCCTTAAGGGCTCCACGACCTCTGCGGTCCCCCGACTCGCGGCGGAGCGCCCACGAATCATCCAAGATGATCTGGACGTCTCTGAACTCACCTCGATATGCCCAGACTCGCCCCGGATTCATCTGGTTTCAGCTTAACTCCTCAGGCGTGATCCTTGCAAGCCGATCGGAGAAGAGCCGTCGAGCCCTTGAGGATCTGGCCCAGGCCGCGACGCGCGAAAAACGCGTTGATCGCTGTGCATGGCCTGCCCATTTGAGAATGTTAAATCTAACCGTGAGAATAAAACCAACACTCAAAAACAACACGTAAACACAAGACGTAAACGTGAGACATAAAAACACAACAACACGTAAAAAACAACACGTAAAACCAACACGTAAAAGCAACACGTAAACACAACACGTACAAACAACACGTAACACCAACACGTAAAAGCAACACGTAAAAACATTAGTAATCACGACACGTGAAACAATACGTGGTGTGTGTGTGTTTGTTACTGTAGTGATTGCGTTTGTGCTTGTGTGTTGATGCGGTGCGAAAACAACACGTAACACCAACGTGTAAAAAAAACACAACACGTAAAACAACACGTAAAACCAACGCAACAACAACACGTAAAATCAACACGTAACAACAACACGTACAAAAACACCACGTTAAAACGATACGCGGTGTGCGTGTGTTACTGTAGCAAAAAAACAACACGTAACAACTACATGTGAAAACAACACGTACAACCAACACGTAAACAACAACACGTAAACACAACGCGTAAACACAACACGGAACAATAATACGTGGTGTTTGATTTTGTGATTGTGTGTTTTTGTGGTATGTGTATACGAAAACAGCACGAAAAAAAAAAACAACACGTAACAAAACAATACGTCGTGTGTGCATTACTGTAGTGCTTGCGTTTGTGTTTGTGTGTTGTTGTGGTGTGTACACGTACAAACAACACGTAGAAACAACACGTAAAAACAACACGTAAAAACAACACGAAACACAACACGTCAAAACAATACGTAAAAACAACACGTAAACATTACACGTGACAGTACAACGTGGTGTGTGTGTGTGTTACTGGAATGGTTGTGATTGTGTTCGCGTGTGTTGTCGTGGTGTGTGTACACGCAAAATCAACACGTAAAAACAACACATAAAAACAACACGTAAAGCAACACGTGAAAACAACACGTAAAATCATCACGTAAACACAAGTAAACACAACACGTAAAAACAACACGTAAACACAATACGTGGTGTGTGCGTGTGTTACTGTAGAGCTTGTGTTTGTGGTTACGCGTGTTGCTGTGATGTGTGCGTGCACGTAAAAACAAACCGTAAAAACAAGACGTAACAACACGTGAAAAAAACAACACGTAAAAACAACACGTAAAAAAGCAACACGTGTTGTGTGTGTGTGTGTGTGTGTTGCTGCAGTGTTTGTGTTTGAATTTGTCTGTGTTGTTGTGGCGTGCGTGTACACATATAAACAACACGTAAAAACAACACGAAGAAAAACAACACGTAAAAACAACACGTAAACGCAACACGTAAACACAATACGTTCTGCGTGC